AAAAGCAGCTCTTGAAGTTCATTTGAATTGATTGTGATATTATTTGTTCCAAAATACCTTATTTACGAGTCATTGTAACGATTTGTTTCCAATCTTCAACACGGGTGAACCTGATATGAGGTTGAATTGTGTTTCAGACCGTGGTGAAGCGTGGAATTGAGATGGAGCATGCAACCGATGCCTTGATCCAGCTAATAAAAGATCACGGCCGCTGGGTTGACCCTCCTGCGGAAGAGTAAAAGCCGGTAATCTCTAATCGCCAGAGATTGAAACTAGAGGGTATTCGAGAGAGAGAGAGTTGTCCCCCAGTATGTTGTACGCGCATGTACCCACAGATGAAAACAGTAAATGATGACTTGAGCTGAAAGAATATGTATTGCCGTACATGTATGCAAGAATTTGTACCGATTTGCAGCGCACCGTGTAAAACGTTCATCATGGAATATACAAAACAACAATGTAGCCATTTTACCAAATTAAAACCTTAGGTTTAGCCGGTTCTGTAGTTACGAAATTTCCCTTGCTCAACACACAGCGTCATGGCATTGAACAACTCCAACAAGTAATATTTTGCGTACACTATGTCCTTTCGTTTTGACGAAACAACACTTGGTTGGAACTTTGTTGGGCTATGTTGCTGTACATTCCATTCCATTCGAGTTAAAGTGAGCCATGTTTAAATTGCGTTTGACTTGACTCCCAACAGCAACCAATTACCCCACAAAAACACGCACAAAAAGGTGGATGTAATGTCATCATTTCTCATGCCTCAACGCTTCACTGTGTTCCAATTTAATTGGTGGGTTGCTCACATCTTAATTCCCACGAATGAGGATCCTCGCTGGCTCCTCACAAGGAATCCTCAATACACATTCGTCCATTGTACAACGTAATGTTAGAAATTATTGTAAATTTTTTAATTTAAAATTGAATATAAACAGTGCCTAACAAAAATTGACCGCATAATATACGATGAACGAGTATGATTGAAGGATCTTCGAGATTTTCACAAAGATAATCCGACGAGTATCCTCTCTCAACAAGAAAATATTGGAAAACTGAATCAAATAGCACTTCTGTGCAAATCATATTGTGGAAATAGCACTAAATAGTCTAACACATTGGCATGAGTTGGCGACATTGACAGAGCCAAAAAGTCAGAAAATGCTCCGCACTTAAGTACCAAATTTATCACCGATATTGACACAAAATTGATTGAAGTGAAATACATTACAATTTGTACCAAGTCAGTGGCATTCCATTCCCACTTATAACTTGCAAGGACTAGCATGCGTGAGGAGAGAAATGCTAAGGAGATATTCTTTCATTTTTTATGAGTTTTCTGTCACTTTACGTTTAACGTTAATTTTATATTAACATTATAAAATATTGTGCTAAAAACATGAGATGACATGATAACTTGAAATCTTATTTAACATTATAACAGTCAAATTACAATTGATAGCTGACATGACAACTTGAAATCTTATTTAAGATTTTATACTTCTCAAGCCGAATTTTTAAATTTTATGTTCTTATTAATATAGAGCTTTAAAAGGTTGTATTTATTAAAAAAAAAAAATTGTTGAAACAAATGGTTGAAATGTTAATGGAATAAGAGGTCTAGCACTAAAATTAATCAAAAAATATTAACTTCAAATTTAACACCTAATCACAAAGTATTCAAATCTTATCAGCAAATAACACTTCGATTGGAATAATTTTTTATATCAAATATACATAGCAGCATTTCCATCTAAAATTTGACATCTCAATTAAAGATAGTTTTAACATTTCTTACGCGAGGAATTTGGTCGATGCATTATCAATTCTGTATCTGTACCATTATCAATGCCCATGATAAAAAGCAGGTGCATTTTTGCTTGGCCACATAAATTGTAAAATTTCCTTGAAGTTTAATAAAATATTGATTTATTATTAAATTGATCTAAAAACAAATACTGACAATATTTCAAACATATATTAACGATCGAAAGGGATTCTCTCTCTAGATTTCTTCTATCAAGATCACCAGATCAAATGATCAGTACTTTTCAAATTTTATTCAACGGCCCACCTGTTGTGACTCCTTAAAGGCTGTAATAATTTTTTGTCTTTAGATAAGATCTCTTCCATCAAGACCACCAGTTTAAATGATCCGAACCTTTCAAATTTCATCTAACGGCCACATTTGTTATGACTCCTTAAAAGTTGTAATAATTTTTTATCATTAGATGAAATTTAAATGATCTAAATTACTTGATTCGGTGATCTAAATGAAAGAGATCCATTACCAACAAACCGACCCAATATAAAAAATGATCATTTTAATCGATTTCCCTATTTATTTCGACCGGAGGGCTCTTTTGCGCACAGAAGAGGTTGTACTTTAAAGATGCAGAAGCAAAAGTAAAAGCCACCAAAGCATAAAAAGGAGAGAAGGAAAAAAAAGGAGGGAAAAGTTATAGTTGGGCAAGTTTTCACTTTTCAAACAATTTCTTCTTTTTTTTTGGCACAAAGTCGACATTTTTCTTTCCAGCAAACAGAACATTCCCCAAATGTTACCCGCAATCCTATTTTTTGTCAACTCTCTATGTTAATTTAAAAGGAATATTTAAATAACAAGTACCAAATTTCAAATTCTAAATACCTTATAATTTCAAGTTATTAATCAAATCCAAATCACTCGTTTCAAAATATTTCCATCTTAACCAATTTTCCCAAAACTTGAGTTGACTTGTATTTTATCAATTATTTATAAACTGTATTCAATTAATTTACGATATTTAACGAGATAAACTGAATCAAATTATCACATTATATATCTAAATCGCAATTAAAATGGCAGATACTTATCAGATCTTTTTTTCTTCATTTTTCTCAGTAATTAAAAACTTGATATTATAAATTAAAAAAAAAAAAAAAGCAAAAGGATTAACTCTGAATCTGTAAATTCAATTATTATATCAAGTATTTTACGCCCAAAATTAAAAAGAAAATAATAAAAAAAAAAATCTACCTATCACCACTCCACCACCACCACCACCGACGCACCAAAGAATCAAGAATCGAATCACCATTTTTTCACCGTCGCAAAACCCCAATTCAATCATATACCAAACCCAGAATTTAACAAAACAAACTACGAGAAATTAATACCAGAAAATTGACGACTTCACAGTAACCTCTAGAAGTAGAAGAGCTTTGCGTATGAGAAGACGACTGAGTGTTTCTTCAGAGAAACTCTCTCCTGGCGTCGTAACCGTACTGAGATCGACGTATGTTATCTTGACGCTTCCTGTACACAAATCCTCCGAGCCCTACCAAACCGACTCCGACGATAACTCCAGACGCGATCCCCGCCTTCTTTCCCCCGCTCATTCCTCCCCCGGAGGAGTTCTCAGCTCCGTTGTCGTCGGCGTTCATGTCATTGTTGTTGTCGCTAGGATCCGACGGCGCCGGAGCGGGAACAGAAGGCTCGCTGTCAGGCGACGACGATGGAGTCGACTGCGGCGGCGCGGGAGGAGAAGAAGGAATTGGTGAGTGCGCCGGTGTGTTGGACGGAGATGGAGTGAGGGAAATCGGCGATGGAGATATGTGAGACGGCGAATCGGCAGCGGGTTGCGGCGACGGAGTCGGGGAGGGCACTGGCGGAGAGGAAGAGGATGCGGCGGTGCTGAATTGGACTAGGAGAAATGCAAGAAGCAAAGCAGAGAGGAGTTCGATGAACCTCGCCATTGTTGAAGGAGGAGAAAGAGGAGGCGGCGGCGGCGGCGGCGCTTCGAGGTATTTGTTTCCCAAGAAAATGTGGATCTGATTGGAAAGTGAGAAGCGAGGAAATTGAGAGTTTGGGAAGCGGTTTTGAAATGGAGTGGAGGAGATCTGAATTTGAAAAGGGGAGACCTCGGGAAAGGGAAAAGGAGACGGCCGAGATTCAAGGGGAAGGGAAGAGGCGGATTCAGATCTGGACACGTAGGTGGAGTAAAAAAGCAGGGAGAGGAGCGATACACTGGATCTAGAAAAATGCGGAGGAAATGGAAGTTGGGTTTTGCTGGAAGCGTGGAAAGCGTGGAGAATATAAAGGAAAAGGAAATTGGAATTTCAAGTTTTGGGTTTGGGGTTTATGTAATATTTTTATTTTGTTTTGGCGTCATTTATATAGAGAGTAAAAGATGGTGGTTCCATTTTTAACCAAGGAAATTTTAAATTTTAGTCCCAAAACAATTTTTTTTTAGTTAAACGATAGATTTTGTTAGATTAGTCCCACGCTGGAAAAGGGTCACTTGGCAAAAATAATTTTTCTACTCTAACCTAAATATTTAGTCCGAGATTATAAAAGAATGAATTTAGAATATTTTTTTTTTCTTAAAGTAACTTAAAAAAAATAGAGTCTATCCTAATTTAATTTTTTTAACATTTAACTTAAAAATATTTAGATTCCGATAAATATTAAAAAATCATTAAATCGACACTACGAAACTTGTGGAACACTATAAAAGAATATGAAACACATGAAAACATTTTTTAAAAATTAGTTTGGCCGATTTACATTTGGATTGTTGGATCTTTTTTTTACCATTGGATTTTATCATATTAGATCTTAATTATTGAATTCAATGAATTTATAATATAAAACTAAAAAAAATACTCATATATGGTGGGTCATCCTACAAACTTAAGGAAAAATTTTGGCTTAAATTTGGCCAAAAAACGAGTTTTGGGTTAAAACTCATATTTGGCATAAGGATTAGAACAAGTTGAGGTAGGTTTACCTAGAATTTGAGTTTTCCCCAGTTGAGCTTTGAAAGTTTCAAAAGTTATTGTTGTTCATGACTATTCAAAGGTTGATTACAAGAGATCGACCAATCAGAAGTGTTTTTTTTTCGGTCAACTGATCATCAATCACAAGTTCATTACAAATTGGGATGCATATATTTTACAATCTAAAAAGCCTTTCATTCTTCATTGAGCTATTAGCAAACTTGGCAACCAAGAGAAAAATGGCTGCCGCTTTGATTGGACATGCTTTTATATCCGCTTTCATCCAGGTGCTGTGTGAGCGCATTGCTTCAACCGACTTTGGTGACTTGTTCCGACAGAAGAAGCTGGATGAACCACTCCTCATGAAACTGAAGATGACGCTGCTCACCCTTTGTGCAGTCCTCAATGATGCGGAAGAGAAGCAAATTTCAAACCCTGCCGTGAGAGAATGGCTTGATGAGCTCAAGCACGCTGTCTTTGACGCGGAGGACTTACTGGATGAGATCGACACTGAAGCTTTGCGATGCAAGGTGGAAGGTGAAGGTCAAACCGAGAAATTAACCAAAAAGGTGTGGAACTTCTTCTCTACTTCTCGTAGTCATTTTTATCAAAGCATGAATGTTGAGATACAAGGGTTATTACAAAGGCTGGATGACTTTGTGCAATAGAAAGTTGCCCTTGGTCTGACAGAAGTTGTTGGGAGGAAGGTTTCACAAAGAACTCCAACAACTTCCTTGATTCATGAACCTTTTGTATATGGAAGAGACAAGGATAAAGAAAATTTATCAAAAGTCTTGTTCTCTGATGATGCAAGCGAGGATAATGTATCTATCATCACCATTGTTGGTATGGGCGGGGTTGGCAAGACGACCCTTGCTCGAGTCATTTACAATGATGACAAGGTGAAGGAGCACTTTACCCTTAAATCTTGGGCATGTGTTTCAGAAGATTATGATGCTATTAGGGTGACTAAAACTCTTCTCGAGTCAGTCACTTCAACACCTTGTAATATGACAGATTTGAATTTGCTTCAAGTTGAACTTAGAGAACAACTGAGGGGAAAGAAATTCTTATCTGTGTTGGATGACCTTTGGAATGAGAAATATTTTGATTGGAAGTGCCTGCAAACTCCTTTTACTTCCGGGGCAAGAGGAAGTAAAGTCATCGTGACAACACGAAGTGAAAATGTCACATCTCTCATGAAAAATGTTCCCATTCAATACTTGGAACCTTTGTCACATGAAGATTGTTGGATGTTACTTGCAAAACATGCATTTAGAAATGAAAACCACAATGCACATCCAACTTTGGAAGAACTTGGCAAGAAAATTGCACGCAAGTGCAATGGTTTGCCTTTAGCAGCAGAAACACTTGGGGGTTTATTACGTTACCAAAGCTCTAATTCGTTCTCTAACATACAGTTCATGTGTATTGTAGGTATTGTTTGTCCTTGCCAAGTTTTGGGCAGCTACCCACTCTTAAAGAGCTATGTATCATAAGGGTGGAATTTGTTAGGACGATTGGTTATGAGTTCTATGGTGATCGTAATGGAGCTTCTGTAATTCAGCCCTTTCAGTCTCTGAAGACGCTAAAGTTTGAGGAGATGCCAGAGTGGGAGGATTGGCTGCCGAGTCCAAGTGGAGGTCAATGTTCAGACTTTCCGTGTCTCCAGGAGATGAGAATAAGGAATTGTCCGAAGCTGAGAGGATACTTGCCTAATCGTCTTCCTTGCTTGAAAACACTTAGGGTGTCTGGGTGTGAATTTCTACATCTGCATGATGAATGGGCCACTACTAGTAGCAGCACCAGTAGTCTTAACATGGACTACTTACAGAATTCGTTAGAAATACATATTAATGGATGCCCCGGTCTGTTACCGTTAATAGAGAGAGTAGAGAAGAAGTTCTTGTCCACACTTGGCATTTTTAATTTTGCTGCAATACAGTGCTTGCCCAAAATGCAGTATCTTGAACGCTTGACTCTCAGCAATTGCCCAACCATGTCGTCATTAGAGTTCCTATCACATGAGATGATGGCCGAATTGACATCACTTGAGTATTTGGATATAGAAAAGAGTTTTTGTTCGGTGAGGTCGTTCCCGTTGGGCGTTTTCCCCAAACTTTCAACTCTTGCAATCAATGGTTGTGAGATTCTGGAATCCTTTTCTGTTGAAGGAGTTGATCAGAACCTAAGCCATCTCAATCACCTGTGAATCTACGACTGTCCAAATCTGGCGTCTTTTCCCGACAGAGGACTGCCCACTCCCAACTTGAGACACTTGCAAGTCAATGGATGCAAGAATTTGAAGTCATTCCCCGAACGAATTCGCACCCTCACCGCCCTTCGAGCGTTGGGCCTATACAATCTTCCAAATCTTGTGTCATTTGCCTCCCAACCTGCAGTATTTGTATGTTAGAAATTGCGACAGAGTGAGGCCTTCAGTGGAGTGGGGATTGCAAGGACTTGTCTCGCTTAGACAAGTTAGCATTGGTGGCGAGATATGGGCAATGTTGCTCAAGGAACAGCTGCTCCCTACTACTCTTAACTCTGTCCGCATCACTGGACTATCAAGTCTGAAATCGTTGGACGGAAAAGGACTTGAACACCTCACTTCTCTTCAACAGGTATCCATTTCGCAGTGTCCAAATCTTCAGCTCCTGCCAGAAGACGGTTTGCCACCATCTCTTTCTTTCTTGGAGATCTACTCTTGTTCCACCCTGGAGAAGAGGTATGAGAACAGGACCGGACAACATTGGGCCAAGATATCTCACATTCCCTGCATACAGATAAATGACTAAGTCATCATATGAGCTCTCTCGTACAAACTTGTGCTTTTCGGCATTTCACTCTCTGGTATTTTTGCATCTGATTAACTTCAATAGTCTTAAAAATAAAAGACATGATAGATATAAGAATCATAGCGTATTGATCAAATGTTTCGTTGCAGCATGGAAGACACATTATCCCTACATCTTCAACATTTTCGGATGGTATGGAGAGGATCAATCCAGCATGGTAAGCATCATAAGTGCAACATTTATAGGTACTCTTTCATAACCGAATAATGTATTCACGTTTCAGAAATAACAAATTTTGCAATTTTTTTCTCATCTCTCCCATTTTCTTTGTTAAATCTTGTTTGCTCTGAATTATTCTCTAGACTTATCCCTGGCATTACTTATAGAACATGTATTGCTTTGGCAACTGACATTTTTTTGACCAAGCACTTTTGGAATATGTTTTATTCCTGGGCTTAAAAACCATCCGTACTGCTTATTTTGGTCTGTAGAAACCTACTTTCGACATAGGAGGCACAAACTTGCATCTACAGTTTCCTCTTCCATTGGCATGCTGTCTCATTTTCGTTATTCAGATTCCAGCTTGACGCTTGCGTAGATACGTTAAGCTCTTGTGGTTCCGATCGCAAGATCGTAGCTGACAAATGGAAAGATGTGTGCAATTAAATCTTTCGAGGTGTTTTCCGATGTTTCTTTTCGTTTCATTATTTTTATTTGTCTCCAACATAAACTTTTTAATGAGAGAGGGAGAGTGAGTGGGGAGGGGCAGATAAAATAAAGAACAAAATTTGAAAGTTTTGAGAATCAAAGTTGCAGATTAGTTTCTCAATAGTTCATGTACTTCATGATGTCATTTTAAATGTATTAGTTGTACAAAAAAGAAAAATCAGTTCTTTGTGTATTATTGATGCATTATTCAACTGGTCTGTATCCTCCGTTTTTACCATTTCTCGGTTGCGTGAATCAGTGGAAAAAAGCTTTCTGTTTAATCAGCCTTCGTTATCAAGACACTTGTGGAATCAATCCTAAGTAGCTGTTAGTACAACGTGCCAGGACAGACTCATTTGTAGGCTTTGTGGATGCAGTGGCGAGCTGTGGTGTGGAACTGTAAAGTCGAATTACCTAAGGGAACAGTTGCTTTGCATCAATTACTGGGCCTTTCTGGCATGAGTGAAAAGCCATGGCATGCTTTTCTCGTATTCTTCCGATGTCATACTGATCTTCATGTTGACGCAAGAGATGTATCATGTAGGTAACCCTTGGAGGATGGTGTTTTTTTAATTTTTTTTAATCATTCTTATTTCGTTTGAATATGGTGGCTTTTATGTTGGTGCGGATGAGTTTCTTTACAAACACGAATGTGTAATTCACACATATATGTGCTGCACTGACTTATATGGTTTGAATATGGTGGCTTCATTGGTGTCCTTATTGTGGAACTTAAGAGGCGAATGTCTGAGGCAATAGATGTTAGCTCACATCAATTTCCTAAGCATATTTGGCATGATGATGCTCCTCTAAAGGAAGATGATGGAACCCCGGGATGATATAGTTCTTTGTCATACGGGCGTGGTTTGAAAACGGTGGCCTACTATCTCATCTTCTTTCAATGCCATTATCATCTTCAAGTTTTTCTTTACGAGTGCGAACTGGTAATAGATCTTTAGTGGACTACTGCATATTACATTCTCTCTTATCATCATTCTTCGCACAAGAATTGAGAATATATACCTTAGATAATTGATGATTCTAATTTGAATAGAACTTTGGAAATATAATATACATAATATGGTTTCTTCTTTTGGTTGGTGATGAATTTTGATAAGTTTTCTGTATTTTGGGTAGGTTTATAAGACCAATTTAGCTCCGCCATGTCGCTTCCAATTGAAGAAATGATAAGTCCTCTTTTTCCGATGCTCAGGTATTTCCCCTTTCACATTTAAAGCAACTCCATTTTGCTTCTTTTTGCGTTTGGCTTTCGCGGTTTCTGACCTGGAATAAGGTGAAATTTTGAACCTTTGGTTTGAATTTGTTTGAGAAATGGGTTGGAAAATTTTTGTGGGTTTTGAGTTGTTATGGGTTTAGATGCATTGAGATGGAGATGTGGGTTAAGCCAGTTGGTTACGGCATTGTGTCTCCCCTTTGCAGCCTAGTTCGTATCCTCCACCGCGTAAATTAGAGTAGTTTAGAATAGTGTCTTGTTAATAGAAAATTAAAATAAAAAATTGCAAGGAGAAGCATTTCATCCATGTGTAGATGATTTTACATTTATCTGTTCTTGACCTTTTGGAATCACACATTACTAGGTCTAATGACTTTAACGGTAAGTGGTTCTGTAGTAGCAAGTACGTGGTTGACATATTTGGGCAGAATCATCCTTCTGTAGCTAGCGAAGTGTTTGAGTGCATGATTTGTGGTCGGCCTATCGCGGCTGGGAGGTTTGCTTCTCATCTGGAGAAGTGTATGGGAAAGTTAATTATTTGTCATCTTTTCAAATAGTAGACATTTCCCTGTTTTTATTTGTCAAAGTCCTTAAACAAGAGACTAATAGATATTATGATTTGTTGCTCCACCATAGGGTAGAAAGGCTCGCCTCAAGGTGATAAGAAGTAGCACGGCTACACAGACTCGGAATTCGCGGGGAAACCCTGCTTCCACATACTCCACATATTCATGTTCCAACAGCACAAGCCAGTTATCAAATGGAGCATCGGGTGTTGCTGGTAAGGAGTACTCGAACGATGTATTGGAAGAGCCATGAAACAGGTGAAGCACTGGTGAGCTCCCCAAGTTACTTGGATGCAATGGATCTTGCATACTTGCTTAGTTAGTGATGTTTGTGGAAAGTGATGCCCGATTTTGAATAACAGTCTGGACATCTATGTAGGGCGGGCACTAGACACAAGTGCGTGTCGCTGTGGGGGTTTTGTGTGGTATATTAATTGCCAAGTGGTCCGAGTATGTACCTTACAATTTCTCCCTTGTTGGAGCCTTTTTCTGAGAGAACAATGGACCATATTGTTCCGAACCTTGACAAATCTACGGAGAGGGAAATTCAAACTTGGATGCAAAGGACGAAGCACACTAGCCAACTTGACCAAATCCAGTTTTGTACTACCGTTTTCTTCAGTTGTGAGAGTTTGCTTTCATTTCATGTTCATGGCAATCAAAGTATGCCCGTAAGAATTGTCTATCATCCTCGTTAATACTTGTAATACTAATACATCAAATGTTGAACAAACAAAAAACTGAAACCACCATAGAAACAGTAGGATGTCGATCCCTGAAAGAGTTCTCACAGGGTATGGATCATAAATTCACAACTCAAAATTTTTAGAATATGACTGCAGGAATTATGTGATGACATTCTTTGTTCCAATGCCAAGAATAGCACATTGTATACAACATTCTTGACCACATCTTGAATGATAATTCTAAGGGGGGTGTATTCAATTGGGATTTTGAGGGATTTTAATTCTTTTAATGAATTTAGGGGTATTCAATTAGAATTATAAATAATTCTCTGAAATTCAAAATGTATTCAATTAGAATTTTAAGATAGTTTATTAAAAATCCTTAAAAATCCGGATGTATTCAATTAGGTACCGACAACTTAGTCATTCTTCATTCTGTGAATAATAACATCGTGTTGTTTAGCTCAAAGCCTCGAGAACTGCCATTAATATTTGTCTCTTTTTAGTTTGTTTTTTACTAGATTTCCAATAACACGTTATTTTTTAGGTAACATGCAATAACACATTATTGAGTAACTATGAAATTGGCACTGAGTTGTGATACTTTTCTTTCTTTGTTTGGGATTTAATCGCATATATTCTCGTTGAGCAAGGTTTTAACGAAGTTACTCTTTTGCTTTTACCATAGCTTGTATTTTTGGGTCATTAGAATTCCAATTAGATGCATTTCTATGCCATTAAAAAACTAATGACTAGGTTAGAAGCTCAAAAATTGGGGAGTTTACTTGACTGTGATCAAGGGAAGACTGAAATGCCTCTGTGAATATTTCTGATTACTAAAAATGATGGATAACTGTGACTTACCACCGGTTGCCTTTTTTTTTTTTTTTTTTAAATAAAGAATAAAAGCTAATGACTAGAAAAATAAAGAGTTCTTAGATTTGAGGACCTAAATAACATTGCTTTTGGATTATAACATGCATGGTTTTATCCAATTTAAGTCCATATTTTTTGGGTCATTAGAATTCCAATTAGATGCATTTCTATGCCATTAAAAAACTAATCACAGCTCCAAATTAGTGAGTCTATTTGACTGTGATCAGGGAAAGGCTGAAATGACACTATGAATCTTTCCGGTCTTTAAAAAAGATGGATAAGTATGACTTACCACCAATTGCTTTTTTTTTTATAAAGAATATAAACCAATGACTAAAAAAATAAAGAGTTCTTAGATTTGAGGGCCTAAATAACATTGCTTTTGGATTATAACATGCATGGTTTTATCCAATTTAAGTCCATATTTTCTGGTTGATTTGTTTATTTATTTTTAATTTGCGTAAATCTAGAACTAGAACAAAACATGAAATACATGCTCCTGAATCCTCACAAACAGTCCTGCAACAACTCTTTGATTTGTGAGCAACAATTGCTCTCAACTTTCTGACTTAAAATGCTGAAGACGATGATGGGAACGATTGCTGTTTCTTCTTCTTCTTTTTTGAAGGTTGGTTATGGCGGCAGCAGCAGCAGGAGGCTTGGTATGCTGTCTTGTCTTTTTCAATCTTCTTCTGTTGTTTTCTTCAACAGTTACTTGGCTTTGTTTCACTCTCGAGCTTCTCGACCGAATCTAGAAGCACCCAACAACACCAGCTTGTGAAATTCACTAATCTCGAGCATGCTCTAATCTCGAGGATGCTCTCGACGTGTTCGACGAAATGCTTCAAAGGCGTCCTCTGCCTTCCGTTGTCCTTTTCACTCAAGTGTTGGGTCAACTTGCTAAGTTGAAGCATTACACGACAGTCGTCTCGTTGAATAACAGAATGTTTGCGTCCGGAATTCGTCCTAATGTTTATACACTAAACATTATCATTAATTGCTTTTGTCGTTTGGGAAAATGGGGTTTGGCTTGTCTATCTTGGGAAACTTCTTCAAATTGAGTTTTGAACCAAATGTCGCGGCCTTCAACACTCTAATCAACGGCTTTATTCTCCAGAATAGAGTGGCTGAGGCAGCAACACTTTTCAAGAAAATGTTGGATAGTGGTAATTGTAAACCGAATGTGGTTACTTTCGGTACCCTAGTAAAGGGCCATTGCTTGAAAGGTAACAACACTGCAGCAATCCAATTGCTTAAGAAGATGGAAGAAGGGGCTTGCAAGCCAAACGTAGTTGCCTATAGCACGGTCATTGACAGTCTTTGCAAGGATACTCTAGTTGTTGATGCACTGAAGCTCTTCTCAGAAATGAAGAGTAAGGGTATTGCCCCAGATGTCACGACCTATAACTCTTTGATTCATGGATGATGCCTGGATGCTTTTTTCTAGAAATGTTTCATAGGGGAGTGGTTCCAGATACTATTACTTATAACACTCTTATGGATGGGTTTCGCAAGATGGGAAGAATACAAGATACAAAAAACTTGTTCTCTCAAATGCAAGCTCGTGGCCAACTTCCAGATGTTCAAACCTATAAAATATTTTGTTGGATGGCCTTTGTAAAAGCCACCAACTTTCTATGGTGGTTGAATTGTTGGAAGAGATGGAAAGGAAGAAGTTGGATTTTGATGTTGTAACTTACAATATTCTTATTGAAGGATTGTGCAAAGCTGAAAAAGTAGAATACGCATGGGATCTCTTTCGTAGTTTATCATCAAAAGGAACTCAACCTAATGTCAGGACATATACTATAATGATCAGTGGATTTTGTAAGGGGGGGCTAACATGTGAAGCAGAAAACTTGCTAAGGAAAATGAAAGGGAAAGGCTGTTCTCCAGATGGTTGCACGTACAACACAATTATCCGAGGGTTTATCAATAACAATGAGACATCGAGGGCGATGAGACTTATTCAAGAAATGGTGGAGAGTGGTTTTTCTGCAGATGCATCAACTATGGAGTTGATCATTAATTCACCTGCTTTGTTGGCATTAATAGAAAAATCGTGATGGAAGTGATTTGCATCTTTGTTTTGAAAAGTTTCAGTGCATCCCTTCCTTGAATGCTGCATTGGAGGGAGTTGTTCCACTACCGAGTCCAGTTCAGGTAACCATTCATTCATGCATCGCGTAGTGATGTATGATGTGTTATTAATTTAATGTATCAAGTGATAGAGCAACTTTTATGTCACTCTTCTTTTAAGATTATGAAATCTGTTGGAGAAGTCAGAGTATCTGGACAGATATTATCATATTTATGGCTTGGTTTAACTTCTACGGACATTATCTATAAATAATTTTATAAGGAGATGAGTCTGATGGAAAAGCAATGGAAGAAATAAAGCTACAGTATACAGACAACGACTAATTGGGTCTCTTAGACATCAGAAATCTTCAGCATTGTTGCAAACATTAGTATTCTGAAGCTTCATTTCAATTGCAAATCCATAATTGTGCAATCTGATACTATAGATTATATCATCTGTCACATGCCTTGCCACACCATTATAATTTGTCTTTTGCTCGCTACTTGACTAGCGAAATTCAACAGAAGAAATTGAATTCGACTCATCTAAGTGCTGCACGGGATTTGCAGGAAACTTCATTTCAGACGTTTCTCCCCGCAGAAGCTTGTTCTTGGATCCTGGCCTTGTTTCCTCAATCAGTCGGCATATCCCGCACCATCAGAATAGCAGTCATAATCTCTTTCAACCATGGATGCCCATCTTGAACAACATTCAGAACAAACTATGGTCTGCAAGTTTGGAGGCATTCCTCTCATCCAGCAAGCTTCTTCCTCCCTTCAACCTCAGCCTCACCATTGAGTCTGGTTTTTGGTTTGCTCACCATGTTCTCATATGAATGGAGACTCTCTCGGTCAAAAGGTTTTTCAGGGTTTAGATCTTTTGGTTATTCTTTATGGTAAAGTGCTATCGATGATCATTCGAACTTGGGTCCAAAAAAGTGTGAATACGTTACGTTATTCTTGTCAATTGACTTAAAACCCATAAAAAATGAGCACATTAATTTTGGTCCATTGATCTGATTCATATAGAAAGAGAGTATATAGTTGAATTGTTCCGACCAATTGACCTCACTAACGTAGATGGTCTACAATTTAATTTGAACAAGTAATCCAAAAAAAATAAATGAAAGGAGAAAAAAGAAAATAATCGCCCACCGTGGGGCTCGAACCCACGACCACAAGGTTAAGAGCCTTGCGCTCTACCAACTGAGCTAGACGGGCTGCTTGGGGGTTTGGGGACCCACAAGTAAGAAGACTTCTGCATTTATGGACGCTAAGATCATTGCGCTCTACGAACCGAGTTTTTTATTTTTATTTTTTTTTATCACAAAGTCAACTTTCATTATGATAAAAACTAGTACAAGGCTAAAAAAGGATCGAAAAAACAATTACAGGGAAAGTAAAAGACCTAAACAATATGAGAACAACAACCCAATATACAACGGGAGACCTACTCAAGTTTAGGCCCAAAGGCATCAGAAAATAGACAATAAAAATCCCTAAACTCCAGTAGCCAAGACCACATCGTCGCTGTTGTCACATCCTTGGAGGAAGCCAAACTTCGAACCGAGAAAGTAGACACCAGATCTAAGTCTCATTCACGAACCTCTGCAAACATATACAAACAAAGTATCTTATGGGTAGAGAGTGAGGCTAAGAGGTATGTAAAATACCCAACGCTTGGCCTTGATGAAGAGCTAGACGGGCTGCTTGTGAGTTTTGGGACCCACAAGTAATAAGACTTATGCATTTATGGTGATGAACCACGCTTTAAAGGGTGCGTTTTAAATCGTGTTTATGCAGCAGTCCTACATCGACCGACTCTTCTGTCTATAAGTGCTTTATATACTGTCCGTCTGAAAGGAAGCTTATCCCTTCGGGGACATTCAATAAAATTGAAATAATACATAGAAGATTAGCATGGCTCCTGCGCAAGAATGACATGCATAAATCGAGAAATGGTCCAAATTTCTTTTTTAATTCCTTTCCGTTTGCAGATCAATTTTTCTTTTGAATCCTTCATCTCCTCTGCTTTCGATGAAGTAAGACTAAGCTCACAAATTTATTATCCTTAGTCGGAACATTTTCCTACTTATAATGAAATAAATTGCCGTTAGTTGGAATCTAATTACAAGTTTTTAAATTTGTAGAGATGTAGAACAACATATAAAAATATCATGGATGCATATCCACCATTCGAGTTTCCACTAATTGCAAATGTATCACCTTTTTTGCTTTTTCTTTTTATTTTATTTAATGCAACAATAGGTGATTTTCATTAAACAAAGGTCATTACAGATGGTAAACTAAGATAGAGACTCCTCAAGGAGGATATCTAAAATTATGGTCAGTGGATAGTCCAACCAAATACATTCATGGGGAACTGTAAGACCAAATCTACCTAGAAGATGGGCAACCGCGTTGGCTTCGTTGAGTGAATGGGAAGAGGAAGCTTCAATGATCGTCAACTGTAAAGCCTTGATATCCTCAATAATTTGCCCAACCATGGAGAGATTAGTCGAAGTGACCCGCAATGCTTCAATGGTCTGAAGCGAATCAGATTCAAAAATCATATTGTGAAAGCTACTAGAACACCCCCAAACCAAAGCCGAACGAAATGCCAATGCTTACGCCTAAAGGGGGTGAAAGTATCCATGAAATTTCCAGCTTTTGCAGCCACAAAAGTGCCAGTAGAGTCTCTAATAATCAGACCAAAACCCTTGAGTTTTGCAAATGCATTCCAACCTCTGTCAATATTCATCTTCAACGAGTCGATTGGGGAGAGGAGGGGGGGCATCCATTTAGGAGAGGGGGGTGGTTGGAGATTACGATTGTACTGTGCCACCCTAGTACGCACAAATTCCTGCCACCAGGTAATGCATTGGGTGACTACAACATAGGGATTATCGCATGTTCCCAACTAGAACTTTTGATTTCGAGCACCCCAAATTCCCTAAACGCAAGAATTTGGTTGATCGGACAAGTCGGCGCCTTTTCATTCTTGTTGGGATGGAGTAACTCGTTGAAATCGCCGTCGATAACCCATGGTAGTGAGCTTAAAGGTGCAAGAGCCCAAAGAGTGTCCCAGGACAAATGACGATCATTCGTGGTAGGATGGCCGTAGAATCCAGTAAGTTGCTAGTGGTGAGTATCCCCAATTCCCACAATCTCCGAATCAATGGAGCGATCAAAGAAATTAAAAACTCGCAGGTTGATATCATTGACCCAAAACAAACAGAGTCCCTTAGATTGGCCCTGTGAATGAACTCCAAAACATCTATCAAATCCCAACTTGTGCTTCACAGATATAATAGTCCCCGTATCAAGTTTAGTTTCACATAAAAAACCAACGTGAGATCTTGTTGCCGGATCAGGTCCTGCAACGCTTGAACTGTTTGGAGGTTCCCAAGCCCCCAGCAATTCCAAATCAGTGTTTTCATAACTGATGGCAGGGCTGAAACCCGTTAGTCTCCGCTTGTCCCATGTAGGAAAGACTTTGTTTTCTTCCCAATAGTCATTTTTCCTCTGATTCCACCAAATCTTTCAATGGATTGATGACCACCTCGCAAAGGCCTCCACCTCTATAAGCTGATCCAGAGCTGGTAGAAGAGACGCATTGACCTGCCTTGAGACCACGGTTGTTGTTCTGATATCCACTTGTGAATTTTGCACCCCTAGACTTCGGATCTGAAAGTTAGAGGGGTTAAGAGCTACAGTTGTTTGTTTGGCATGAGGTGATGGACTTTGTCTCACAGAAAGTCCATCGCCATTAGATTCACGAACCATCTGACTTGCTAGATTATAAGCACTTTCATCCAAGTCCTGGATTTTTGTTTTAAGGGGAAAAGCAGTCCAATACCTTGAAGTTAGTTGGGCTGGCCCTAACCTTCTCAGAGGCCCAAGGTAGGCCCACATAATTTTACAAGGCCCATAGGGGTAGGCTAAAGCCCATGAGGGTGCCATTGGTAAATTGGGTTCCGTAACTATCCAGATGCCATACGTGGCCGAGATCAGGGGGTAGGGATTTGATTGTGTGGTGGAAGGTTACCCAACATTGGAAGTGTCAGGATTGGTCCTCGGTAGGTATGAGTAGGGAACCAACATGTCAGAAATGGCAGAGAATTCAGACTGTCCCCCAAGGGTTTGTTGTTGACACTTGCCACATCATTATGACTGGCAAATTCCTTGTTTTTTATGACGCCAGAAAACGGTTCGCCAGGGCATCAACATCGTCATAAGGTAAGCTGTAAAAATTGTCGTCCCAGCTGTCCCATTTTCGTCGCCAGTGCAGGTCGTTTGTGCCAGAGCTAGAAGTAATGCGTCTGGGGGGGGGGGGGGGGGGGGGGGGGGGGAAGAGGAGAGGGTTCACCCTGGACAGAGGTTGAGCACAAGGAGAGTCCGTGTACTTGTTTTCGCTGGAAGGCAGAGGTAGAGCGAGGCAGGGGTATCCCCTGGAATGATCCAGACGGCCGTACTAGTAGCAAAAAATGCGGAGTCCCTCATATTTGAGACGGATAGTGTCGGATTCACGGGTGGGGCACGGGGCAGAGAAGCAAGTGAGTAGAGGTTGTCCTCAAAGTTGATGCTATTACGATTGAGAAGGTTCATTTTATTCCAAGCAGACCTCAGGAGTTCCTTGACCACGTTTTGAGAAGGTTCATTGTTGGCGATGAGACGGCCGACTAGATGAATGGAGGTGTTAAAACACTCCTCAAGGTTGAGGCTGTCCTCAAAGTTGATGCTAAGGCCATCTCCAACCGAAAGGTCCAGAGGGCCGAAAATAGCCTGAAAACCGTCTCTAACCGAGGGCTAGGTCAGAGGGCTCTGGAATCTGAGAAGGCCCCACGGAATCGGAGAGGGCTAGAGGGCTGGCCATTTTTTTTTTTGTTTATGTTGGATTTCCTGTCGGTTATAACCGACAGGAATTCTTTGAATATTTTTTTTTAACAGTTTTATTATTATTTTTTATTTACAAATCCTATAACTTCTATTTTTCATATTTTTTTTTAAATTCTATTTTTTTTTTCCTATAACTTCTATTTCACAAAATTTATTTCATATTTTTTTTAATTCTATTTTTTTCTATAACCTCCTAAGCCATTATACAACATTAAATTAAATTAAGTAACATGAAACAACATTAAACAATATTAATAACATTAACCAACATAAAAATTATATAATATAAAAAAAAAAAACATTTAACAACATGAAACTTAAACAACATTTAAGTTGTAGTTTTTAAATAATAAATTATGTTTGGCCCTATGACCATTTGGTCCTCGGTTGGAGACCGTTTTTTGTGACAGAGCTAAAGCGAGCCCTCTGGCCCTCGGTTGGAGACGGAGGCAAATATGGCCCTGTACTGTTCATTAAAATATTAATATCTTAGAGGGCTAAAACGAATCATCTGGCCAGCCATCGGTTGGAGATGGCCTAAGGCAAGCGATAATCTCCTCCTCCATGTCCATAGTCGTTGAGAAACTCGAAAATTTACTAAAATCCAACCTACACGCTAATTGCGAAGTTTAACTAGCACCAAAATATTTGGATTTAATTTTGATTCAATTTAAGATGATAAAAGAGCCGTTAGGTTGTTGAGTACGCGTCTAAAGAGCAGGCGGACACCCTCTACATCTACCACCCTACACGCTAATGGACGATCAAAGGCGTTCTTATTTGATCTAATTACAATGAAATAACTACCATAACTTGATAGAGACTAAAAGAGGTGCACCAATTTACTCGTCTTAGGAGTCGAAAATTATAATCAGTGAAATTATCCTTAAAAAGGTTCTAATTTATGCACGTAATTTGTTTGCAAGGACATACTGTAACATATTTATTTTCTCTTTCCCAAATTAAAACCCAACATCTGTTTCGTAGCTTACCGAGTTATTGCATTACACTAATACGTGATAGGACGCGTAAGAAATTGATAGATAGAAAATTAAAAACTAACTACAAAATAAATAAATAAAAACTTTACTATCTTTTATTGACAAAAGAACATAAAGAAAAACAAAAATGCATTATTATTATTTTTTTTTGGTCAAACGATAGATTTTGTTAGATTTGTCACCGACGAGATTTAAACTCACATCATCATGCAAAGGTTGAACATTTTTCCACCATTGTGACAAAGAACCACCTACCACACCAAAAAATAAAAAATAAAATATTATATATTAAGTCATGAACAGCTGAGCAGAGAGTGGTTTTTTTGTCATTGACTAGTATGGCTGTCCACCCATCATTATATATAACACAAGATAATTAAGAATTATCTTTCAATTAATAAGAAATTAATCATGTCTAAGCAAAAAATTACAGTGGATTCCGAAAAATTACTCTATTTGGATGCAAAAATCTAAGATTACTAAGGAATTTCAAAACAACAAAAATTGAAATGACAGAATTTTATTTTCTAGAATTTGTGAATTCTTTTGTTTGGTTACCTAAAAGAACAATGGAACTTGAATACGGAATTTGTTATTTTTAAACTCTCATTCATATAAATTGGAAAATGAAACCTAGTTACATGCAATTTAAACTTGGGAATTGGAGCCTGGAGGTCTCAAATTCAAAATTTTTTTTTCCACACAGAAATTCTTAATTTTTATGTCCTTGAATCCAAACAAAAAATTGGTGCATGTCAATTTATAAATTCTGACTTTTGTTCAAATTCCAAGTTTATCTCCCTCATCCAAACATAGTGGGAATATTAGAATTCCAATTAGATGCATTTTTATGTCATTGAAATCTTTCATTGTGTTCAAATCCTTTGCACTCATTTTGTGGATGAATTCTCTATGGTCTCTATCATTTTTAACATATGTAAAAAAACTTAATCATTCTTAACTTTGTTGTCATAAACTTAATATGTGTCAATCAATAATGTCATAAAAAAATCACACACAAAATAAGTGCAGAAGATTTGATGGACATCCATTTCTGGACTAACCTATCTTAATTTCCAAGGGTGACAATTTTGTAGACCCGAAAAAGGCCCACAATTTTGTTGTTGTCTTATCATGTTGACAATGTCGCAGCTCTAAGATCTTGTGGAGTAAAATGCGACAAAAAATACTAGAAACTTTGTGCTTGTGTTGTGTATATGATCAAACACGCTTATCCAAGTTTTTCTCCGTTATAAATCGAACACGTGATCTCAAATGCAAGGATAAATGACGGTGTTATAAATCAAACGGATGATATGATCAAACACGCTTATCCAAGTTTTTCTCCGTTATAAATCGAACACGTGTTTTTTTAATTAATGATATTATCTACACTAAGGGAGGAGGGGGTGGGCTTAGCCTCATAATGGGCTAGCAATAATGTGATTCAATCAGTTATTTATTAAATATTATTTTCTCTATTTTTAAACATGTTCAAAACATCTTAAGAGGCTTGTAATGCCGGTTATAAAGAATGTCTTTCGCACACGGATAATAATGTGATTAAATTACATTAAATTAGTTGTCAAATGATTGTTTTTATTTTATTTTTAACAAACGATATTATCTACACTAAGGGGGAGGGGTGGGCTTAGCCTCACAATATGCTAGCAATAATGTGATTCAATCAGTTGTTAATTAATATTATTTTTTTAAACACGTTCAAAACATCTTAAAAGGCATGTAATGCTGGTTATAAAAAATGTCTTTTGCATGCGAATAATAATGTGATTAAATTAGTTGTCAAATGATTATTTTTTTCAACAAACGATGTTATCTACACTAAGGGGGAGGGGGTGTGCTTAGCCTCATAATGGGCTAGCAATAATGTAATTCAATCAATTGTTTATTAAATATTATTTTCTCTATTCTTAATGTATTTTATAGAGATTGATTTTATTTGACTCCCTTTGTCAATTTACGCATATAAATACATTTAAAACGTCGCGTGTAGCACACTGTGATTCAAAAAATGCCTTTTCCATGTGCATGAGCGCGTGCATGAAGGCTAGTAACTAATAAAATGTAATGGCACAAGAAAAAGTACACATGACATGCTCATTTTCTATATAAATTGACAAAGACTTACATCTAAAACCTGTTGTGAATCTCTATTAGAGTTGTGCAAGTGCAAGCAGCAATCGTTGATCCGCACATGAGTGACTGTCAACTGTTGACGCATTGTGAGACCTACTTACTTTAACAATTGATATCTCACATAACAATTTGTCGTAATCATTTCCAATTCTCCATAAAGCAACACATTATGATTTGAATTTCATAAATTTTGAACAACTGATAATTTAATACTGTGTGGTAATCTGGGACGGAAAACAAATGCGAAGACTGAAAGAGGCCAAGAAAGACGGTTTTTGAAGAACTAACCGTTCTTATGTCATAGGAAATGCGGACCTACTTGGAATGTATTTTGTGTGTCACGTCATTCATAATGTATGTGTTTGGCTGCTTTTCTGGGAGAAGAATTCTGTTTCGGATGTAAACCCGCACAAGGGAGCTCAACAAAGTCAAAACACAAGAAATAAACCTCACTCCCCTCTCTCCCAAATCCCCACGCTCATGTTCTCTTAGAGCATTCTCAGTGAGGAGCTTTATATGGGGTTGTAAAAATAATGGATATAGCCAATTTTAGAGCTTCGAGAAATCTTTGGAGCTTTACAAAAGAATTTCTCCCAATGAAAGGTTATTTTTTTCGGACTCTATATGAGGTTATATATATATATATATATATATATATATATATTTATGTAGTAATTTGATTATGCGATAATTTTTTTTTTTTTTTATGTTAACTTTTCTTAAGTTGATTTTTGGACGTGTTATTTTAATTTTTTTAAATTTTTTTATTTATGAGCATTTCAACCAAAAAAAGTTCTAATTCTGACAAAATTAGATTTCATTATTTATGAACTGTTCGTTGGATTAGATTTTCTTATCTCAATCTCATCCGTTGAAAGATACAAACCTCCACTTTGGTCTCTAATATAATTTGATTTTCACGTACAACACAACAATTTACCTAGCACCAATTGGTAAATTAGTATCATACAATTTTGAAAAAAATTATTTGAAAATTTCACCCACCAATGCCCATGAACGTTAAATCAACTTGAAATTTTAATTCTTATGGAATTTAAAACAATCATTAATCATCCAATTTATGCTACTCAAGAAAGAAAGTTACTAGCCCAAGTGGTGGACGTATCTTTATTTTCCGGCTCATTGGAGATGAAATTTCTCACTAAGGCTTCAAATGTAGTAGCCTCATTGAGGATAAAGCCCCCATTGGGATGTTGTTACTGTCTTCCTCTCTGTTTTTACTTTAAAAACAAAAATAAAAAATGTTCACACACAGTTTATGTGTAGGCATATACTACAGCAAATTTTTTTGGAGCCTCTTCAAATTTGGAACCTGTGGAAGAAAAAAGACAGCGGCAATGGTGACTCTTCCTTGACATGTGGAATAAAAAAAACTGTTAACGTGTTCTAACAATGAAGTGCGAGCCCATTTATTCACACTTTAGCTTTGTGTTAACCAATTTTTGTCAGTATATATGTACTCTTGTTTCACTATGAGAAATGCAAAGGATATGTAAATATTAGATGACAAATTTTTTTTTTTTGAAGCTCGCTCAAATTTAGAGCCGTGTGCGATTGCATTTTTCGCTCCCTTAAAACCGCCTCTGATTATGGCAATGGTGACTTTTCCTTGACATGTGGAAGGAAAAAAACAATAAACATGTTCTAACAATGAAGTGCAGACCCATGTAGTCACACTTTAGCTTTGCGTTAAATAATCTTTGTCTGTATATATGTACTATTTTTTCGTTGTGAGAAATGTTACGGAGACTTTTAAAGTGAGTTATCTTATGAGCTCTTTGACAACTTACAATTTAATGTCAATTATTATATCAATCTTATAATATATTGTGCAAAAAATATGAGGTGAGAGTATATTGAAAATCTCTTTAGCATCTCTCTTTCACTGTTCTTTTTTTGTCGCATCAAAAGGCCGACAATCTTTAAAAGATTTTGAAACTTGGGGGTTCTCATTGTTTTCCTGAGAATCCTAGATTTTATGAACAGCAGAAGCAGAAAGCCATGTGAGAAAAAGCGGCTTTTTATTTTAAGGTGAAATGTGAAAAACCGAAGGGAAAAGCACAGCACTTTCTCTTTCACTTATCATCATTCACATTCACTACCTGGGCTTTGAGGACTTGAGCAGCTCCCAAGATTTGAACTTGTTCATGCGGATGTTTCTGAGATTCCCATGGGAATCCCTTGGGATGTGGGATGTTTGTGATTTTGTCTGCCAAGTGTGAACGAAAGGTTGGGCTTATTGACAATGCGCTTGTTCTGGTGGCAACAGCTGCCTCTGCTTATTCTCATCCATCTTTTGGAACCCAGCAGAACAAGCTACAAAGTTTACGGTACTTTTTCTCTATGTATTTTTTATTCGAGCGGTATTCTAATCTAATCTAAAAGCGGGAAAGGGGATTCGAACTTGGGTGCAGAGCGAGAGCATGTTGCTCTAGCCAACTTGGTTATTGTCACGTCTGCTTGTGCCCCTTATTTGAGTCATAGGATGAAATTTATCTCCTCGTTGATATGCTGTTTTGAATATGTAAACGGTGTTTAGAATTGTTTTGGATTTCGGAATTCCTTTCAAACTGCTATGCTGTAATTTATCTTCTCATTGATTTATTTTTTGGTCTGAAAGGATACGGTTTTGTTCATGTTCGAAACGGTGTGGCTAGGCATGCGATTGACGCAAAAGGTGCATGATGTTTAGGCTGTCATATTCTTACTTTGCTTAATCTTCATTGCGATTGCCATTTCGAAGAATGCTGATTTTTTATTGTTTTGTTTCCCTCTCTGAAACGCATAGCTGAAGCTCTACTAACTTTCAAGAGCGATGGTGGAAGCCCACAACTACTCAAAGGTCGAATTGGAAGATGTCCTTGTCTAACACAATGGAAAATTGTCAACTGTCATAAACTGAAGGACCCATGTGTTGTTTCTTTGTAAGCTCTCTCTCTCTCTCTCTCTAGCAGTGCAGAAGTAAATAGTATATGATGATTCATCAAACATATTCAAAGTAGAACAATTGTTGCCTTCATAGCATTAATATAAGACGCAAGCGAATAGCGAATAACTTGATTACTGCCAGGAAATTAGCTACAAATTAAAGTTTTGTAGTAATGCATATCAGTACTTGTGTTGAACATATATTGAAACTGACCAAAAAGTTAATCCCCTGTTTGTAACAACATTCTAGTTTTACAAACCGGCTCCTCGAGGACCTGTATATTGTATTGGATCGTGATACAATACCTTCCATGGGTTTTACTTCAAGATTCCAAGTTAGTGTATCATGTTCAACTAGTTACATAAAACACATTGTGTGAAAGCCCCATTCAATTTTTGTTTTACAGTACTACCAATGTAACTGAGGAGACAAAGTTTACGGTTTTTGTACTGAGGAGCTTTATGAAGACTGCCACCAGTCTAAAATAATTTTCTTATAGATATGGACCTAACCTTTTGAGCTTTGACGTGTATTGCAGGTACCTTAGATGTTATACTTCCAACAGGTTTTCTGGTATCTGTTCAGTTCCCCTGTGGGCTAACGCAGTCAGTTTGCCACCTTTTGTTCCAAGACTTTTCATTACACACTCTTCAATTCAACTACAAAAAGGGCACCATAAACCAAGAAGCAGGAGGATAGCAGCCATAGTTGATGGGGATAATGGAACTCCAACACTCACACCTGTGGAAAAAGTTCATGGTAACCATTCAACAAAACCAAAAGTCGCAGCAATTATTGGTGGAGTTGTTGCCACTCTGCTTGTGATTATCGTAGTGATGCTCATTTACATGTGCTTGATGCGTGTAAAAAGATTAACTAGGCAAACATCTGAGACAGTGTCATCTGCACCATCACCTCCTGGTAAGTTAGCTCATAACCATTTGAGGAAATTTTCAGTCCCAGAAAGGATGTAAAATGACTCAAATGAGGAAACATCTAACTGCACTGATCATTAGCCAAAGAATTCTTGGATTCCTTGCATTGCATATGCCTTCAGCCTTCAGCGTTAATTAAAAGAGGAACGACATAAAACATGTGAAATATCAGTAGCCTTGCGTATTCTTGTTGAGTCAAATGATGAACAATACAACTTTACAGACACTGTTTCGAAGGCTTCAAAATTGAAAGAGCACTGGGCTACGTAATGAGTTTCTGGCCACACACCACTCTAGTACAATATGGACATGCCTTTCTCAAGTTGATGTTTCCCAAACAGGTCCTCAAGATAAATCAATTCGTTTCTTCTAGGAAAGGGAGCAAAGCATCTATGCATTTTGATTATCTGTATTTAACCACTATGCATTCTAATTAACCCAAAAAGAATAAAAAATGGGGGGAATAATCCTAGCTAGAAGGTCCAAAGTTGGCATTATGAGGTGCGTCTCGTAGAATTCAGTCCTAGTGTACGTCACTTTTGTATAAAAGTACTCTCTATCATCGACACTGTATTAAAAAATTGCAGACGTAACAGTAGGATGTGACTGAAAATGATGCGAAGTTATTTCATGCTCGATTGATAATGTTGTACAGGAATATTAACAGGTGATTCTATCTGTTAAGGTTGTGGTTTGGCTCACTGGGTAAGTTTGGTGATTTGGTTTCTTTGATTTCCTTCAGTTCAGTGGGAAAGAGGGGACGCATCTCCCTACACCGTTGCTCATTCTCCTTACAGTGCACCAAACTTGAGGCAACTCACCATATTGGAATTGGAGCAAGCGACAAGCAATTTCAGTGAAACTAATATCATAAGCCAAGGTAGATTTGGATTGGTCTACAAGGGATTGCTCCAAGATGGGACTATTGTAGCTATCAAGAGACGCCTACATGCCCCAACTCAGTATTTCTTGTTGAGAGTTGTCCCACATTGGTGAGGGACAAGGTTTGCTATGTGCTTATATGGTCTTGGGCTACTCCCCATATTGCCAATTGGTTTTATGGTGGAACCTCAATTTCATCATGGTATCAGAGCGAGTTGTCCTCGTGTGAAGCCAAACGGCCACACGCGCTCCACGTCACCCAGTTGTTGTCCACGTGTAGGCTTGAAAATCCGCCACACGTGCGGGGGCGTGTTGAGAGTTGTCCCACATTGGTGAGGGACAAGGTTTGCTATGTGCTTATATGGTCTTGGGCTACTCCCCATATTGCCAATTGGTTTTATGGTGGAACCTCAATTTCATCATTTCTTTCATGAGGTATGCAAGTTCCTATTCATATATCTTATTTTCTTAGTGAGGTAGTGCCTAGAAAATCATTCCGTAGCAACTTCTTAATATTCTGACTTCTTTTGAGCCGATACAGGTGAAGCACGTAGCTCGTGTCAACCACATGCATATTCTCAGGCTTATTGGTTATTGTCAAGATGCTACTCAACAGTTACTTGTATATGACTATCTTCCAAATGGAAATGTTGGGAATCATCTATACGGTACTCTCTCTCTACACACTTTCACTCTTTTTCGTTCTCTCTCTCCCCCTCTTTAACAACATAATTATGCAGATGCTGAAGGTTTGCCTATTGGAAGGTTGGGCATAAGGCAAAGGCTATTGATTGCTTTGGGAGCAGCCAAAGGTACATCACCTGCTTCAAGTTCTTTCAGCAAGTCTCTTTTGCATAAAATAATTGAACTTTCCTCTTTCATTTATTTTGCACAAGGACTTGCACACCTTCGCAGTTTGGTGCCTCCTCTTCTGCACATGCATTTTAGAACAAGCAACGTTCTTCTGGACGAAAACTTTACTGCCAAGGTGTCTGATTATGGACTAACCAAATTGCTAGTGGGTCATCATGCTGGCTCATCTTCAGCCGTTGATTGCTTTGTTGACCCAGAGTATGTAATCTTATCTTTAAAGTGCAAGTCTGTATGGTAGATGGTAGGATGCAGATGGCACCTCTTTGTGCCCGTAATGCTATTTGTCACTAACGATCAAGATTACTTGATGTGCAAGAATTGCGTGCGAGGAATATAAGAGTAAGTTTCCTCGTCCAGCTTATTCTCCAAAGATTCCTCTATCAATTCCTTGCAGGTCATTTTTGCACGTTAAGCGATCTAGATTGGCAAAAACAATCTAGCACTTAACAGTACCCTTTGGTCGCTCTATTTTATAATTCTATGCTTCTTTAAGTCAATTTAGCAGAAAGTAACCAAAATTAAATTTTCTCATGGATATGCCTGACAAGCATACTTCGTTATGGTGGCTAGTTGCCGTAGCATCACCACCAGAATAATGCGTACTTTTAATAACTAGAAGACAGAAAGTGACTTCTCGCAATGCTACTGGATGTTCTTTTCCTCTCCTAGAATCCCGTTGTAAATTATACCGCCCTAACAGAACTTATGTCGAGTTCTATAACCATTTGAGTGCCAAAATCAAGATTAGAAGTTGATTGTATTAATTTACGGTAATATGATTTAACTTTCTTCTAGTACTACATTGAGCAGCTAGTAGCAATCTGCTTCTGAGTGCTTCATCAAGTTGCGCCTCTAGTTCTTATAGTGGAAGTTGCTTCGAATTATAAGTTGACTAATTCGTTTGAAGAAAAAAACTTCAGATATCTTGGTCTTCCAATAATAACGAAGTATGCCTGACAATCAATTTAGCAAAAACTTCAGATATCATTCATTCTAGAACTATGGTTTTTGTGTTTAGATTGATTTATTGATAATGTCTATATCTAATCTACTCTTTTTTTCCCTATAGGTTAGATTCATCAAAGAAGTTTTCAGAGAGAAGTGATGTTTACAGTTTCGGGGTCTTCTTACTGGAATTGGTCAGTGGACGTGAAGCGAATGCAAGAAACCAGTTGAACTCAGTGGATAATTTAATATTGCAGGTATATATCTGTATCTTGCCCTAATGATAACTTCCTATTCCTCCCGTCTTTACTCTTTAGAGCCATATCGTTTACATTTTAGGGATAGGCCATCAGGAACTTGGCTGTTCCTTTTCATACACTGAAGAAAGGCGCGTTTAATGCAAAACACCTCACCTTCTACACTCTTGCACTCCACACGTCTTTATGTGGATGGACACCTCACTTCTCTAAGGCAAGCAAAATGATGGCTGAAGCTCTCCCTAATATAATGGATATTCTCAAGATCCTAGAGTAGCTTGCAGGTTTTTCTGATCCTTTTTGGATAAGATCAAGTGACGTAATTGAAGAGCTCGTAAAGAAAGAATTTAGAGTGTGTGAGAGATGCAGTAGAGCGAAAATCCTAGCACCTTCTGAGATCAAAAGGTTGTGGAGAGGGAGAGAGAGTTGTCGGTTCTGAACAATGCATTCACTCTAGCATTTACAGGCTTTCATCTTTATACATGCATTTATGCGTAGTTATGAAACTTCACTGACTTTACGTACTTAAAAGTTTGTCATTCAAAGAAGTAGACTTTTCGTTCTTTCATAAGATCTGCTTGTGTGACACTACTGTAAACAAAAAAAAGAAAGCAACAAGGCGAAGTGCAGCCTATATTGTTACCCTTTCAACCCTTTCATTCATTATCAAGTTCCGTTTGCTTTCGTAGGCAAAGGATTGCAAGGATTTAGGCAGATTTGTTGACAAAACTTTAGGTGACAAGTCGTGGCAAACTGCAAAACAGATGATGGAGCTGGCATTGATGTGTGTAGATGGTAGCGAACGAAGGCCGCAGATGCAGATTGTTGTGGAGGTGCTAGAACGAATCCATCGAGGGAGAGAAAGTAGCCATTTTCATATAGAAGTTGATGAGGAGATAGGTGCTGTGACTCTTGGGAGTGAGCTTTTCAAATGAGTTCCCTGTATCAGTGTCATCTCTTCGTTCTTTTATAAATTCGATCGATTGTAATTAATTACACAAGAAAAATATATAATATATACAAACATTCTTGAGTAAATAAATCAAATGAAAATAGTAAAAGTTCAGATTGATTAGGTTGATAAAGTTCAAAGTTTTTGGACTGCGATTTGATTTTTATTTTTTTTACCTTACTGATTTAAGTTGTTTTACATAGTTAAATAATTTTTATTAATTTAAAATTAGTTAATGAATATTTTAATCTAAACTAATATTAATACAACCCTTTTATCAACAAAAAGAGAGTAAGACTATTCAGTCTTCTATCACAAAAAATAAAAAAATAAAAAAAAATAAAAAAATAAAAAAATTATAGGCAGTAATGCAATTTCACAAAATCAAATTTTGTTATTTTTTTGTTTAAACAACACGTACATATGATTTTGGCATGTATCTAACTTAAAAATAAAAAATAAAAAACAAAAACCTTTCTTGCCACTCTTCCTTATCTTCCTCTCTCATTTCCATTTTTAAAACAAAAAAAAAATGTTCACAGGCACAAAATTTGTAGGCATGTGCTAGTATTTACTTAACGGAAGACTAAAATAGATTCTAGGTATAAAAAGTACTAAATGTTGTGGTCTATTTTATTTGACAAAGGGAATAGGGTCGGCGACAAGGGTAGAGAAATTGAGAGAGATGTGTTTGTAGAATTGTAGGGGAATGTGTGTTGTTATCCCTCCTACATTGTGCCTTTATTTATAGTAGTAAAAGGAGAGAAGATGTTCCTTCATCCCCAAGGAATACAAGATGTAATAGGAAATGATAACTAGAATCAAATCAAATCTAGGATTTACACAATCACACTTAAACTAGGAATGTTTACAACACTCCCCCTTGAGTGTGAAAATACTCAAGGTAGACTCAACATCATGCAGAAGTTGAGGAAGTCGCCTCGTCGGCACTGATTCTAAGGAACAACGCTTATTCTTAATAGGGTAGGAACTTGCATAAGTAAGTAAGTCTCACTAAAAAACCCTAAGGCTATCGCAAAAACTCGAGGAGGGACAAAATCCATAGTCTAAGGAAAAATGTGTGAGAAATGCAAAGTCAAAAAACGTCTACGAGAAGTCATCAAGGATATGCCCAGCCCAAGGTGGGTGCCTCGTTAAAACCTAGTTAGGTAGCAAAACCAGTGGGAAAAATGCTCCTAATCGTAGGGAAAAGAGTACATTAAGATCAAGCAAGTATCTTCAGGATACTCCCCCCTGAGTTTGACACAATTCCAAAGAGAAATAGCAATGTTACAACGCAGAAAGTTTACGCATACCAATTCCATGAACAAGCTTCTGAAACGTCGTCATCAGCAGTGATTTGGTGAAGAGGTCGGCCATATTGTCTTGTGAACGGATTCGCGTGACTTCAATCTTCGATGCTCTTGTTGTTGATGTGAAAAGAAGAGCTTTGGTGCAATATGCTTGGTGTTGTCTCCTTTGATGTAAGCCTTCTTGAGCTATTCAATGCATGTTGCGTTGTTTTCAAAGATCGTCGTCAGGACATCAACGGCGGGATAAAGATCGCATAAGCTTCGAATATGGCCCACAAGGCAAGAATCGACTCAAGAAGCAGAGAGTGTGGCATCACTCAAAGATCCATAGGGATAAAACAAGCCCAAATTCGTAGTACCCTTAAGGTAACGGAAGATGTCTTTCACGCCAGTCAAATGTTTGGGTGTAGGTGCATTACTGTATCTTGCCAAAAAATTAACAGCGAAGGAGATGTCGGGTCTAGTGCATTGAGCTAAATACAATAAAGTGTTCATCGCAACTTCAGGCTCCAAAATCTCTTCATCATCTTCCTTCGAACGGAAGGGATCTTGTGTACTCGAAGGATTTGCTTTATCTTCATTAAAGCAGTGTAACACCTTTTGGGTGTAGTTCGATTGATGTACTAGGATTCCATCCGAACAATGCTCTATCTCAAGATCAAGACAATATCGAGTCTTACCTAGATCTTTCATCTCAAATTCTGACTTAAGGTGCGTGGAGTTTTCGCGAGCTCTTTAGGAGTTCCGATAAGATTCATGTCATCAACATATATTGCAACAATTGTAAATCTGGAATGTGACTTCTTAATGAACACACAAGGGCATAGTTCGTTGTTCACATATCCTTGACTGGTCAAATAGTCACTTAGACGGTTATACCATATTCTTCCATATTGTTTTAAACTGTTGAATGAACACTTCAGCTGAATTGATAGCGTGCTCCGGGGTTTGGAAATATTTGAACCAGTCAATGTAAGTCCTTTGGGAACTTCCATATAAATTTCCGTATCAAGATCCCTGTAGAGATACGCGGTTACTACATCCATCAGCTGCATATCCAATTTTTTGGAAACTACCAAATTGATAAGGTAGCAAAAAGTAATCACATTCATTCATAACGGGTGAATAAGTTTCGTCATAGTCAATCCCGGGGCGTTGTGAGAAGCCTTGTGCAACAAGACGAGTATTGTAACGCACAATTTCGTTCTTTTCATTACATTTCCAAACGAAAACCCACTTGTAGCCAACGGGCTTCACATGTGGAGGAGTAGGAACTATAAGACTAAACACTTTACGTTTCACAATTGAATCAAGTTTGACTTGGATTGCTTGTTTCTAGTTTAACCAATCAATTCTACGTCAACATTCATTAACAGAACGCGGTTCAATGTCATCACTCAACATGATCTCAATAGCTACTGCATATGCTAATGCATCGTCAACAATCATCTCATTTCTACGCCACACATCATCTAAGCTAGCATAATAGACCGAAATATCAAGATTCTCAGGAGGAGGATTTGTCTCTTCAAGGATGTTTCCATAATCTATTTTTTCCTCATAAGTTGGATAGAATGAGTAAGCGACAGTCGAATTCAAGGTAGGCTCTTTGGGACCTTGTGCTATAGGTTTCCTCTTCCGGGAATGTGAATCATTTGAACCAAGGGGTCTGCCACGCTTTTGTGTAGGGGAAAATGATTTGCTAACCGCTAATGTACGTGGATCACCCAGATTGGCGTCCTGGCACTACTACAAAATGGCCTTATGGTGTCGGTAGTTGGTGTCGGTTTTATATAACATAGTGGCGGATAAGACATTTCCAACACCTACTTAACATGGTGTCGCAATTACTGTCGGTTATAAGTGACAAACTGTTAATGTCGCTTATATGCAACATAGATTTTAATATTTTTTTAAATAGTGGTGTCGCATAAAAAAAAAATTGTGTCGCTTGTAACCGACATAAAGTTAGCGTCGGTTAAAAGATGACTAGTGTTGCTTCTATCTAACACTAATGAAAGTTTTTAAATATTTTCAAAGTCTACGTTGGTTGTAGCCGACATGGATAATTTGAAATATTTAGGCGGGAATTTTCCCTCTTGTTTTGCACGAGGAAATGGATTGAGAAGAGTTTGCAGTCACTGTCAGACTTAGTGTCGGTTTAAACCGACACCAAGTACATTTAATTCGACGCAAGTTTCAGCATCCGTAAAGTGTGTCACAAGATGGTGTCGGTTAGAACCAACACAAATTTCATCTAAACCAACACCACGTGAATTTCAATAAAGTGTGTCAGGAAGTGCCTTCATTTAATTCGAAGTGCATATCAGTAAAGTGTGCCAGAAGTTGGTTTTTAATTCAATGCCAGTGGCTTTTAATTCAACGTCAGTGCAATCAATGTCAGTTTTAACCGACGCCAACTCAGTATCCATATTTAAACCCATTTCTTCCCCATTTCATCCGTGCTTTCATTTCTTCCCCAATCTTAGTCTTTCTCCTTCCCATTCTCATTCTCCTTCACCTTCTCTTTCTTACCCCATTTCAGTTTTTCTCCTTCTCCTTCCAGTAACTTTTGCTATGGATCAACATTTTGAAGATCAACATACTGAGGAACTCCATTTCGAAGATGAAGAGTTCGAAGGTGGTTCATTTTTAAATTATTATGATTATTAATTTTAGTTTCAGTTTTGTATTCTAACTAGTATTTTGCTTAAATTGAAAATTGATTTTTGTTTCTTGGTTTTTAATTGTTTTTTGTTTCTTTCTGTATTTATAAGGATCAGATTAACAGAGATGCGGATCCTCAATTTCCAATTGGAAAGAATAGCCTTTTTCATTTGATTCGTCTGGAAAATGCATTAATGACAATTCTAGTGCTTTTTCAAAACATGGAGCGGTAGAGGTTAGAGATCACAAAAATCTTTCATTTATGATTTATTTTTTTATACCTTGAAATTTGTCTAATAAATTCTCTTATTTTTTAGGAGATTGCTGTTAAAAAAGAAAAAAAAGAAAAAAAAAAGCATAATCGGCAATTTAAAAAAAAAAACATTATGGTGTTTTTTGTTGGGTGAAGAAAAGTAGGGATTAGGGATGGGTAAGACGGGGGTCAAGATCGGGTTTTGGGGTGTTTAATGAGGTGGTTTGATTGATTTTCTACTTGAGACAGACAAATATACTTGTTTTGAAATCTGAGATGCAAGAGGCGAGGGGAAGGTGACACAGAGAAGCAAAATAGGACGCAAGCAACGTCGATCTACTGGAAATGGTGAAGAGAAGAAGGTGAGGATTGAGAAAGGGTGAAGA